CACACACACACACACACACACACACACACACACACACACACACACACACACAATATTTTTTCCCTAAAATCTAAATTTACAAATTCACATTTCCAGTTTTCCTTCCTCCGTTCCTAGCCATGATGTTTCTTCCTCACTGGCAGAGAAGAGGAGGTGTGTGAGGTGGTGACTGTGTTACAGGCGCCATCTAGTGGTAAACATTGTCATTACAACAAAGTTATTGAGACACTTTTATACATTTTTGTATTTTTACAAATTAATCTAAAACACTCAATGCATCTGTTTGCCCTCTCAGCAAATGGCCACTGGTTGTACAGTGAATCACAAGGTCACATGACCAGTGCACACTCTAGTTGTCTTATATAACTTTATGTCTTTAGCTCATCGGTCCTGTTGAAAAACTCTGTGGTTTCACAGACCAAGCTACCAAKCTATCAACAGGTTAGATATTTGATCACAACTTTTCCACAAAATCCCATTTATTATTTAAATTCTGCAGGAGGGTTGGTCCAAGATGTTTCTTGAACCCTTGAAAAGACTACAGTGAATTATTATTTCTTCATTTGTCTTGTGGGTTTAGTTGAAACAGTCAGACATCAGGAAGTAGCTCTAATTTCACATTATTTCATATCATCCTTTGGTTTAACAGTTATTGTAAATATTCAGTAGTAACAGACTCCTGTTATACTTTAATAAAAATAACTCAAACAGTTTCATAGATTCTCTGAAAAGACATTATCCTGCACTGCTTCTTCTATCCCACTTTAACATTTCTCTATTTAAACATGAGTTTTGTTGGAGCTCTTGGTTTAAATGATCATGTTATGCTGCTTCTTCTCACTCTGAAGGAGAATTAGTAAGAAAATATCAGAKTTAAACTGACCAGCTTGAATTTTCAGGAATGTTACCTTACCCAAACCTAGAGACATCAGAGGAAGTGGTGTACCACATCTGTATGGGTCATAAGAACACAAACCCTGATGGCTGCAGGTCAGAAATGTAAGTACAACCCACAGGTGAGCAGCTAACCCTCTGAATGTCTGTTAGGTCATAAAACATCCTGAGACAAGACCTCCACTGGAGGATTCTTAGGATTTTGTCACAAAGATTTTAGCTTTGTGAAATAAATCAAGTTATAGAATGAAGGTAGGCACTACATAGACATGGTGCTCACCTACTACCACATTAAATTTAGTTTGGCTCAGTGGCCATATTGAAACAAACACATTATAATTCTCTGCAGAAAATGTGTTTATCAGTGTTGGTGTTAAATCTGCTGAATCACAGTTTGATTATCACCACAGCTCATGTTCTCTGGTTTTAAAGTGATCTGAAATAAGAACCTCTGAGTGACCATGAAGTGTAAATCCCACAGGCTTCACATCATGAGAGACTGCTGGCAGGAACCTTACACCTTGAGGCCAACGTTCACCAACATAGTCAGCATGCTGGAGAACATCCTGGAGAACGATGCAGTAAGTTCCATCATGACCTTTGATTCTTTACAGCTGATACCACTGAACCCTAAACCTACGTGACCTCCAGACTGATGACCTCCAGACTGATGACCTCCAGTCTGATGACCTCCAGACTGATGACCACCAGACTGATGATCTCCAGACTGATGACCTCCAGACTGATGATCTCCAGACTGATGACCTCCAGACTGATGACCTCTAGGCTGATGACCTCCAGACTGATGATCTCCAGACTGATGACCTCCAGACTGATGACCTCCAGACTGATGACCTCCTGACTGATGACCTCCAGACTGATGACCTCCAGACTGATGACCTCCTGACTGATGATCTCCAGACTGATGACCTCCTGACTGATGATCTCCAGACTGATGATCTCCAGAATGATGACCTCCTTACTGATCATCTCCAGACTGATGACCTCCAGACTGATGACCTCCAGACTGATGACCTCCAGACTGATGACCTCCAGAAATCATTTTACTTCTCTTAATTAATTGATCCAGATTAAGAAACTAAAATGTTGTCAGTTTGGATAGAAGGAATGTTAAGAATCTGGTTGAATTAAATGTTAGTAATTTCATTACTATCTTAAAATTAGTTACTTTATTTTACAGCAGATCAGAAGAGATATCACAACACATCCAGCTAAAGCTTAGTTTATACTTCAATACAACGTTGGTATTTGTGTCATTTCAGGTGTCTTTTTCCTGACTGAGTATAAACAGGCTGAAGACATAGTGGGCCATAAATAAATCAGAATTCTTCCCACAGCTCATAGATAACTATAAATAACAATAATAATGGCTGGATATGTTACCTCCGCCAAAGGCGAGGTAATGTTTTCTGTCTGTCTGTCTGTCTGTCTGTCTGTTTTTCAGAACCTAGCTAGCTGATACATTTAATCTCAGC